TGCATGTGAAAGTTGGACAACGAATAAGGAAGACTGCAGAAGAATTGATGCATTTGAGTTATGGTGTTGCAGAATAACATTAACAGTACACTGGACTGCAAAGTAGGTTTGAAACTCAAAGTCGGCAGTTTAAGCTCAACACTGTCTTCTCGGAAATCCTATACAGGGTCGCTGTGGGTCGGAACTGACTCAACAGCACAATAAAAACAATGGACTGGTAGAAGAACAAAAAACTCTGTGTTAGAAGAAGTGCAGCCAGAATGCTTCTTAGAGGCCAAGAATGCCAGTCATTGTCTCTCGTCTTTTGGACATGTTATCAGAAGTGGCTGCTGCTTGGAGAAGGACATCATGCTTGGTAAAGTGGAGGAACAGAGAAAAATAGGGAGATCCCCAGTGAGATGGATTGGCACCGTGGCAGCAGCAGTAGGCTCAAGTGTAGCAGCAATAGGAGCAGGCAGTGTTTCGTTCTGTTGTGCACAGGGTCGCTCTGAGTCGGTACCAACTCAATGGCACCTAACAACAACAACAATATGCACCTTGGGTGACACATAACAGAATAATGGATGCTCCGATAGCATTCTTGGTTAGACTAAACCCAGAATGACTGACTGATACCCTGGACTTCTGCTCTGCTCTTTTATTATCTGAGCCTTCTGTCCAACCCAGGGAGTGCTGGTAGTGCTGTGGGTTAAGCACTGGGATGCAGTTCAAGGCCGTAAGTTCAAATCCACCAGTCACTTTCTGCTCCTATAAAGATTTACACCCTCAGAAACCCTATACAGGATTGGAACCAATTCGGTGGCAGGCAATTTGTTTCTTTGGCGGGGGGGGGGAGGGAGAGGTCAGGATTCCTTCCCAGGTCAGTCAATCTCAACTTCTCTTCTGAGTTTTTGTCACTTCATTAGCAGATGTTCTACGTACTGTGAGGACACTGATGGACAGGACCTGGGCCTCGTCCAATGTCAGTTTCATACACAGTGTTGTTCCTAATTGGTTGCCATCAAGTTGATTCTGACTTATGGTGACCTTATGTACAACAGAATGAAAGGCTGACGAGTCCTGGGCCCTTACAATCACCAGTACATTGAAGTTTACATGAAGGCTATTGGGTCAATGCATTTCACAAAGGCTCTCCCTTGTCCTTGCTGGCCCTCGGCTGCATCAAACATGATGTCCTCTAGCAACGAATCCCTCCTGAAGATGCACGAATAACAATCAAATGGGACAGTGCTCTCTTGTGATCCAGAAGGCTTTCATGGCTCATTTCCAGAATTAGATCAACAGGCCTTTCTTAGTGTGTTTTAGTCTGGAAGCTCTGCAACAACGTGCACAATGCAGGTGAACCTGCTGTTATTTGAAATCCTAGTGGGATAGCTTCCAACATCAGAGAAGCACCAACACCACCATAGTATGAAACAAACCAGCGAATGGGTGGTGGCTGTCCACAGCAATCTATTACACACAATAAGTGCTAAACGAATAACTATTTAAATAAATTGAATTAATTGTTTAATTCATGTAAAACATGTCTTTAATACTTTCTTTTTGACCAGCTTAGCTCTATCTGGCAAACAGTTCAGAGACATTCCTGCCACCACAAAGTTCATGGACTATAGAAGAAGGCAGACATGGAATAACTAGTTATACTAACAACAGCACAGAGAAGAGCTATTTGTTACAAAAGGTGGAACACAGGGATCTAACCAAGTAAGAGGGCACATGGAAGGTCTCTCTGAAGAAAAGACTTTCAAACTGCAATCTAGAGTTGAAGGGGAAGGAAATAGAGAAAGTGGAAAAAGCAATCAACGGGGAGAGACCAGCAGTCCTAGGCAGGGCAGAAGCACCTTCCCTAAAGGACACTCTTAAATCCTGTGTCTGATTGAACTACAGTCTCACAGGCAATGGTAGTGATGCTGGGATGCTCATGTGGTAGGCAGTATGATAGATGAAAGTTGTTTCCTCAGGTTGACATTTCATGCCCTCTTTCAGACTATATCAGTAAATTTGTACAAGCTTGCCATAAAAGAAAGGGGACCATTCTCACTCTTATCTCTGAAATGAAACACTCTACTACATAGATAAAGATTCAGTACTCAAATTAGTGTCCAGCTTGGTTAGGAAATAAGATTCTTGTGAAACCATGGTGTAAACTGTTGTAAAGATTTATTGTGCCACAGCTATTCTTTGCAAATAATTTCAAATTCTGTACCTTGTTTGAATTGTATGTCGAAAGGCAATTTAAATCTTTGTTCAGTTTAAGAGTTATTATACAGAGGGCATAAAGTTATATGTAAGGTTTCTCATGTTTGTAAAATGCAACAAATTCTATCACTATATAGCAAACATTTTCTATATGTAATTGAAATGAAATGTTCTCTCAGTCTGTAGTTTTATAACCAGAAAGCCTAATTTAATATTTATACATCAAAATAAACTCTTCAGAAAGATACATGTGTTGGTTATATGTAGACAGACAGTGATGAATGACTAAGCCCTCTATGATAGATATTTTACAAGCATAAGTAAATATATATGAGTATATGCATTCACACATAGAATAGCTGAGTGTCGTCATATTCTCTAGATTGCCAAGTGAAAACAGTGAGACTTTTATTATGTCTTTTCATATAAAAGATTATGAGATTAAAAGTGAATATGCACAATTTATATTTATGCAACCAGACTCAATCAGAATGTCAATTAGGAAAAAACAGAATCGTTTTTACGAAGCGGAGTCAATGCTGTTGTTGTTGTTGTTAGGTGCCATTGAGTTGGTACCGACTCATAATGACCTTATGCACAGCAGAACGAAACACTGCCCGATCCTGGGCCAACCTCACTATTGTTGCCAAGCTTGAATCCATCGATGTTGCCACTTGGCCAATCCATCTTGTTGGGGTCTTCCTCTTTTTCTCTGTCAATGTTGGGCACCCAAAACCAAATAATATCTTGGATGTATCCACAAGTTGATTACTTCAGCATTCAGAAGGAATGTAAGAGGTGGACTGAATCCCTAAAGAAGAATGCTATACTTTGACTCCATTGCCTCAAATTAAACTCTGTTTTTTTAAAAATGTAGTTGTTATATTCCTGTCATTTATCAAGTTACCTTAAGAAGCTAATTTTTCAAGAGTTTAATTAAGCCTAACTAATTCTCCCCCAGTACAAAGAAAGATGAATTCCTTAAATATTTAATCCATTTATGACTCAAAGTGTCATTTTTTTTAATGTGGCTGTTAAATTCTTGGAATTAATTACCCTTTGAATTAACGTTACTTCTTCAGAAATTTGTGACATATAGTCAAAGCTCACGTAACATGCAAATTCAATATTTAATGCGCTCCACAAGAGAATGTATCACAAATGCTACATCCCAATCCCAACTTAGTTAGGCCTAGTTAGGACCACGGGACAAGGAGTCCTCACTGTACCAATCAGAACAACTTCATCCTGATATCCATTCATCCTCATTTCCACCCTTAATTCATACCCAACCTCCCTTCTTCAGAGGTCTCTCCATTGAGATCAACAGGCAACACAATCATCGATCTATCCCACCCTTCTCTATCTGAAACACTGAGTGCATCATGACTGATTTTAACTGCATATTTCCTGTTTGTTCTCTCCCACTCTTTTGACTAGTTTGTTCTCTCCCACTCAAGACTAGTAATATTCCGCAGTATTCCTCAAGATCTTTCTTCTATTTGTTTGCCATCATGTAAATTCTATCACATGATGATCCCATGTGTATCAGAGTGAAAATGTGCCCCATACGATTTTCAATGGCTGATTTTTCTGAAGTATATCACTAGGTCTTTCTTTGGAGGCACCTCTGGGGATCTTGAACTGTCAACCTTTAAGTTAACAGTCAACTACATTAACCATTTGAACCATCCAATGAAATCCTTTTTTAAGACTAAACTTTCAACAATACAAGAAGATCAATTGGACATCACATTTATAGAGCACCTACTGCCCACAGAACCCAACACCAGATTACCATACGAAGAAGTGGAAGACTGGATACATGAGTATCCAATGGACAGAAAAACACATATACACACATTCACAAAGACACCTGGACACACAAAACACGTATGTGTTATATAACTTGTATGCCATTCAGTCAATTCCAACTCACAGCGATTCTGTGTGATAGACTAGAACTGTTCTGTAGGATTTCCTAGGTTGTGTGGCACTATAGGATAAGCACTGGAGTTTGGATCACAAGGTTGGCAGTTCGAACCCACCAACTGCTCCTTGAGAACAGGGTTGCTAGGAGTCATCAACAGCACTTAACAACAACAACAATAATCTGTATGAAAATTGATTGTCAGGTCTTTTCTCCTATGGAGGGGCTAGTGGGTTCCAACCACAGACTTTTTGGTCAGCAGACAAGTGCTTACCCCATTATGTCACCAGAGTCCTATTGTGACTTGTTAGTACCCAACAACTGTTTACCTGTCCCTAGCACCATGCTAGACACTGTAGTATGAAAGCTGACGGTTGACTCGACTTTTAAAAAGGGACCTGTCTTTTGATTGATATTCAAATCCCTTAAGAAATGCTAAGAAATCAAAAGGCTAGAAGTTAGTTATTCAGCTTTCACATTTACAAATCTCAATTTGAATTTGAGGAAAATTGTACTAGCATTCGTGATATGAACAGTAACTGAAAGGTGTTTCTAAAATAATTCACTGAGCTGTCTTCCTTTCTGTCTACGATCACCTCCCACACACTTTTGATTTAAAATATAATTATTTACCTTTAAAATATAAAACACAAACTGGAATGTTAGAATTTCCAGTTCCAAATATTGCCTATTAAAAAAATGCACTTTGAAAATATTTTTGTTACCAAACAAGAGAAATAAGAACCATGGGAATAAATATTTTCACTTTGAAGAGAAAATGTGAAACACTGTGATTAACAGAATTAACACACATTGGCTTGGTCACCAAGGATATCTTTAACAGTCACTCTGTGTCAAGTGTACCTACCACCTTTCATCATTCCAACTTCGTAGCACTTGCGTAGTCGGCAGGCCTGGCAGCTCTTCCTCCTGTTTTTATCAATTGTGCACTGATTTGTGGCTGGACACATGTAGTCGTTATGCCCTGTTGAAAGGAAGAGGAAAGAATTACTATCATTTCATCTCTTGTACTTTGGACATATTATCAGGAGGGACCAGTCCCTGGAGAAGGACATCATGCTAGGTAAAAAGTGGAGGATCCACAAAAAAGAGGAAGACCCCCAAGAAGATGGATTGGATTGGCATAGTTGTAGCAGCAATGAGCTCAAACTTGTCAACGATTGTGAGGATGGCGCAGGACCAGGCAGTGTGTCGTTCTGTTGTGCATAAGGTCGTTATGAGTCAGAACCAACTTGATGGCACTTAACAACAATTGCTAATGGAGGGGTTTTTTTGTGTGTGTGACAAATCACTTTTAGTTCACGTGGCCTATAAATGTCAATACCGTATCCTTCCACCCAACACTAACCAGAATTGCACAGGACTAAATTTCACATCCTTGGCATTTCTTACTATCCAGTGTTCTCCCCCAAGAGAATTGAGCAGATATCTATGGCTTGCATATGCCACTGAATTGTGTAGGCCCCAAAAGATCCTCAGAGATGTTGGTCCTCATCCTATCTGAGTGGTGTCCTTATAAAAGAGTAAACTGATACAGAAACAAAGGAATGAAGAACTATTACATGATCTGGTTACTACAGAGTTAGGCTGTAATTGCAAGTTAAGGAACACCTGGGGCTACGGGAAGCCAGGAGATACAAGGACATTTAACGAAGGCTTGGGAGAGAATGTGGGACATCATGAATTTGCATTTTGAGCCTCCAGAACTATGTGAGAAAACATTTCTGCTGTTATAAATTACTAAATTGTGACACTTTCTTTCAGCGGCCCTAAGAATCTAATATGCAAACAACTGCAGATTACTAACAGATTTATGTTCCCAGCCAAGTCCTATTCTCTCTGCATCAAGTGCACATATCCAATTGTCCACATGATGTGTCTTCTCTAAGATTTGACACCTCCACTTCCTTATCTATCAAAAAAAGTCTGGCTTATATTGTGCAGAATATTAACACTTAAGAAGCAAATAAACAGACATTGAATCATTTTATAAAAAAATTCATTCACATAAATCTAGCCTTTACATATCTTGGAAAATATCCTGAATTGAAACTAAAGAAATGATACATATTATTTTTTAAACATTCTAAAATAAGCAAACCAAAAAATAAAAATGAAAAAAAGAGTTAGGTAAGTTATATGTTCTACCTTCTGATGCAGATTTTCTGCTCAGGTCCCTATTTTCCCTTTTACTAAAAGCAAGACGCAACATGTTTTTTTCATTATGGAACTCTTCATTCTTTATTCAACTCAAGGGTCAGTTCCAATTAGAATGGGGTGGAATAGAGACTTGACAAGAAATGTTGGTTTCATAAAACTTGGTTCTCCATCGTTAGATACAATTAAAAAAGACAAGGAAAAACAGGCTTCAGACCAAGTTAACATCTGCTTTCTTATATTACATAATTGTTATCTTTGTAAAGTGCAGTGGAGTGGGTTCCAACTCATAGCGACCCTGTATAGGGTTTCTAAGGAGCAACTGGTAACCTTGAACCATTGACTGATTCAAACCACTGTGCAGTCCAGCACATTAACCCACAACGCCACACCAGGACTCCTATTACATAATAGGTATCAGCAACTAACTAGTGGAGTTATAAACTATTAACTATGATAAAGGACCACATTTGACCTCAAATAGCCAGGCATAGTTATTATTAATTTTTACAGCCTTTATTAATAAAGATAAATTGAGGCAATAATAGCGCCAGAAAGGAAATTTACTTGGACAGATGCCAACTCTAAACCAAAAGTATATTACTCTGACACCTTAAAGACACTCTTTCTGTGTTTGATCCCCTATGGTATTTTTGTAATAAGAGCATATGTTGATATACTTCAGCTCTGAAAACTATATACAGTAAGTCTCAGAAAACCTATCCAATAAGCATTCAAAGTAAACATTACTTCGATTCATTGTCTTGACCCAAAAAGCAAGTTGTTTTGCAAGTCAGAAGAAGGGAAACTGAATTGGGTGAAAGATGAATTGGCTGAGCCTCGGGTTTGGACTAGACATCTATCTTTATATAACCTAATGAAATTTCTGAACTAACATGATTAACACTTAAAATGTGCGGCAGTTTTTCAACTGACTTCATTTCGATACATAAATGAAAGTGATGCACAACAGAAGCACATTTATAATGCAATCCTTTTTGTGGCAAAGCTGGGTTTTCTCCTACACAGACTACATTAAAATTTAGACTTGGTAAACTAGTAACAAGAACATATTTAGTGTATACAATTAAAAATGAATTCTTCTTAGTCAAAGACCATTAACAACTACTGGTAAGTAATCTTGCCTCAAAAAAAAGTAAAAACACCAATTCCAGTACTGTGGTGATAGTTTCCTTTAATGGTAAAATACCTTCAATGGGTGTTAATAAAGCCAATAATTCAAGTTTCTTTAAAGAGAAACTATTCTTAAATTTTACTATTGGGTCTTGTGAAAATAATGCATAAGAAAATTTTTCTCAATATTGTCGTTGTTAAGTGCCATGGAGTTGGTTACGACTCATAGCAACCCTATATAGGGTTTCCAAGGAGCAGCTGGTGAGCTTGAACCACCGAACCTGTAGCTCAAACCGACCTTGCAGTCCAGCGCATTAACCCACAGCACCACACCAAGGCACCGTTCTCAATACAGAGTCAATTAAAAAATAAGAAACCCACACCAATAGTATTAGTGAAGCACACAATATTTTGACCAAAAAACTGAAGAACTCCGTGTAAATGCAATGGGATTTCCCCAAGTTTCTTCAGGGCAGGTCTGGATGAAGCTCATGAGGTTGCAGCTGAAATTTAAAATTTCAGTGAATGGCTTGGAGAAATAATGGCTTGGAGAAAAGATGCCCAACAGACAAACAAGTCTTTGAAATAATCTAGAGCTTGAGTAACAGAAAGTGAAGGAGAAAGGAGTAGAGAAAAACAAAGCTGGAGGAAAAGCCAGGAAACATGGAGACAGGAAGAGAAGAGACCTGTCAGCAGGAATCTCCAGGCCAACCCACCTCTATAATGACAGAAAGCCTCACAAAGAGTTTGACATTTTTTTTCGCCCCTTTTCTTCTTATTTTCCCATTTTCAGCACAGGTGTTTTTTGTTGTTGTTTTCTTAGTTGTCATCACACAGAAAGTGTATATTAATTACTTATGAAAGAAAATACATCATGAATATTTGGAGTTTCAAGAGAAATATAAAAACAGGGCCAATTAAAGATAAGTAATAGCCTAAGGGAATAGAATATTTGTATCTTTCCTTTTGTCACACTGTTCCCATAGCACATCTACCAATCACCTCAGACCACATCTCTAGACAAAGCTGTCCATTTGCATATTCATGGGCCATCTACACTTGACTATCTCACAGCCTCTTGGAGACAATGTGTCCCCAAAAGAACTGAGATCTTTCTCCCTCAGCAATCTGCTCCTATTCAGTATCACACCATGAAAGCCTGAAGTGTGGGTGTTATTCTAGACTTCACTTTCTTCCCCAGTTGACCCCTCAACACCAATCAAACCAATTGTTTTCTAATTCTCTTTCATGTCAAAATCATTTTCCCACTATTGCTACTGTTGTCCACATCATCTCCTGCCCAGATTACTACAAGAGCCCACTAAGTGACTCAGTCTTCCAACGGCCAATCACTTCACTCCCTGTTATGAGGGTGATTTATGTAAATCCAGACGCCATCATGCCACGATTCCACTGTAATGCTCAGAGCTTCCTCAAAGCTCTCAGGCTAAAATCAAAATATCATGCCACAGCTTATAAACTGACAAACAAAAACCAGTGGCTGGCAAGTTGACTCTGAGTCATGGAGACTCCATGTGTGTCAGAGGGTATTCAAGACTGTGACCTTTCACCTAGCCATTCTTCTGAAGATCTCCTGAGTGGGTTCAAACTGCTAACCTCGAAATTGGTAGTCAGTGATTAACTTTTCACACCACCCAGTGACTCCTATGTAACTTACAGAGCTTTTCAAGATCACACCCTGGACCTTCTCTAGCCTTATCTCTCACCACCCTCTAACCCTTTTTTTTTAAAAAATGTTTTATTGTGAATTATGTGATAGTTTACATGGGAGAATATTAGCTTTACATTCATCTTATCTTATATCATTTCATTGCCATGGTTACAATCCCCTCCATGTATCATCAACCAACCAAAGGGTATACCCTGCAAGCCTGCCTCCCCCACCCCCCTGGGTCATCAGCACACAGCCCCTGTTCCTCTCTGGGTCTAGAGTCCCCAGCCATTCCCTCTCTCCATGTCATTGGCTCTGCCTCCCTCTCAAGTGTCACTATTTCTCTGGGTAGGGTCCCGCACTTCGCTCTTTTCCCTTGATGGTCCCAGGGACCTCCGCTCCTGGACTGCAAAGTCAACCACTCCCCTCCTTTTGCTACAAAATGTCTACCTTTACATTTCCAACCCTCAAAGTCAGTTCTGATAACAATTATTCACTTACTATTGTGCCACATGAGTGCCATCCCCATCTCCTTTCATCAGCCCTGCCCAGACAGATTAGATACTGCTCAGTGGAGATTCTACCTTCCTCCACATCCTCTGGATCTAAGCTCACTCTTAAAAACTTGTAAATCAGTCACTTCTTGCCTTTGTAGCTCACCCCACCCCCCATTTTGGGTAGCCAATTTCCAAGTTGCCCATCCCTGTCTACCCTATATATCAAGGGGGTGGGAATGACCCTTGCTGTAAAGATTTGTTCCCACTTTTGAACAACTGCATCCATAGGTGTAGGTCAACTTTATCAAATTATATCAGAATACTCTTTTTTTCCCTCTTCTTTCTTCTTCTAGTTGAATTCTGATCATCCAGCCATTGAAGCCAGGTCAAGTTGGTATTATCTGCAAGTGTGGGTGTTCTTGTGCATATGCCCTCTCTTCTTATCAGCTGGATGCTTCACTCTCCACTCTAGTCCTCTGTGGCTATGTCACTGACTCTGGGCCC